TCTCTTGTGACGTTCCTGCAGGCGACCTGGAAGTTTTCCTCGGCCACAACTTTTGCCAAGAGTGGTTTTGGGAAAAACACCCGCACCGCGCTCACTCCCGGGGCCGGACACCCAGGGCGACCCGTAATGTACACCCGAGGGAAAAATTGTGTGCTGTCCCGCACTTTCTCCCGGGGCAGGCGCCCTGGACGTCGAGGAGGGAAGGAAGTGCCGCTGACCGCGGCAGGGCCCCCGGCGGTGTTAGAAATGTTTCCCCACAAGCCCCACCCGTCGAGCGCGCGCTGTCGCCGGGCTGACTGACCTACCAGGAATTAGAAAAGAGGCAGGCGCGATGAAGGAATCCTTTTTAGTTGTTGTGGTTCAGCAAACCACAAACCACACAAGGGAGGCCCCCGAAGGGGAAAGAAAAGTCACCTCTGGGAAGAAAAAGTTCTTCATCAGGCACGGCGCGTGCCTCGCCCGGGGCAGGGAAGCTTGGGTCCCCTCCAGACTTCCCCGGCCTCCCGGTCCGGCCCAGTGGGACGGTCAGCCGCCCGCCTCCTTCTGTCCCAGGACGCGAACCCCGGGATCCCCACCCCGCGAGCGCGGAGGAGGAAGAGGCGGGTGGAGCGCTCGGGGTCCTTCCCGCGCTGGAGACTTAGGGGCTCAGCGGCTCACAAGGCCACACAGGGGAGTGGGCTGCCCGGGCTTGGCCTGCTCCGCTCCTCGCCCGGTCTCCCCGGACGCGGTCTCCCCTCTCCTGGGCCGCCGGCTTCGGGATCCCCGAACCCGCTCGTGCCCGGCCTTTCGGGGCGTGATCCTCCCGCGGGCTTAGTGGCCCACTTCTCGATGCGGAGCCTGAGGTTAGCCTGACTCCAACGGATTCGGGGTCTGGGCTGTATATCGGTGCCCTCCTCACTCCCATCAGGGTCGGGACACTTTGCCACTAAGCCCCCTTCTTTCTCGCCCGGGGCGCGCCCTTCGAATGGGAACAGCTTACTGAAGACGAATGAGCTGCACGCGACCCCAGTACGATGGCCTCTCGCACGTCCCGCACTCGCAGGCTCCCTCGTCCCCAACGAGGCGTCACCTCTGGAACGGTGAGCCGTGACCGCACAGCTCGGGCCCCGCCCCCACCCCCACCCCCGGCCTCGCTCCTCCTGAAGACGAGGTCGGAGCGCTCCGGGAGTGGGAAGGGGGAGAGAGCTTAGTGGTTTGATCCGAGGCCTGGCCGACCTGCCCTTTCCCACGCTCCCGTCCGGCGGTCGAGTCCCGGAGAAGCCTGGAACCCGAAGGAGCCCTTTCCCGGATGCAAGCCAGAGACCAGCAGGCCTTTGGGCGCATACCCGCGCCGGCGCATGCCCGCACCCTCGAGCTGCTCTGGTTCCTTAGCGTTTGTTCCCTCTCCGGCTCCCTTGAGCTCTTCGAAACCCCCTTTCCCAGCGTGACGGGCTGGACTAGTCTCAGCAGGATCGAAGGCATCCACTTTTGCTAAATCTGATCGCTACTTTACCAAAAAAGCAAAGAGCCATCTCTCTCCATAGTTGTAGGGATTAACTTTTTCCAACATACCCCCTTAGCCAATTCAACCTTGGTGGTTAAGAGGACTCTGAAGTCAGATTTCCTCACCTTGCCACTTTCTCGTTGGTGACCTCTGCAAGCAAGGTCTTCAGCCTCTTTGTGCCTGTTTTTCCATGTGTAGGATGGGAGTTACGGTAGTCCTACCTCCCGTAGGTTTAAAAGAGTTAATATACGCGAAGTCTTAAGGACAGTGGGGGAACACAGTAGGCCCCCTCTGGAGTGTTTGCAGTCGCTGTTCTCAGCCTCATCTCCACTTATGAAAACCCGCCCAGATTCCGGCCCTCCGAGGCCCCAACTGAAGTTTGGAGAGAGACTGTCCAACTGCTGTTTAGCCTATGCCAACCCACCCCCCCTCTTCGCTCTCGGAGCTCCCGAAAAAGTTCTTCTTAATGAAGTAACGTTCGGAGCGTCCATTAAAAATGCAAGGCTGGGAGATCAAAGTACAATATTTATTTTAGAAATTTGTTGCAATCACCAAGAGATACAGGTATCAAGGCCAAATGTCAGTTCCATTACACAAAGCCCCGCGCCCGGGAAGAGCGAGTGGCTGCTCGGCCGTCATGTAAAGAGACATCAAAGACCAAGCGCGCCGCAAAAGTGCGCAGCCGGGAGGGAGGGAGCAGGCCCGGGAGGGCCCGGCGCGCCCCAGACGGCGCGGGGGCTGCGGGGGCGGGGGTCAGTTCAAAGAGGTGTCCGCTGGGGCGCGAGTTCACAGGAGGGAAGATTTAATGGGCTTTCTTTTGTTGGTGGGTGTGTTTGTGCGCCGTGGACCCAAGAACTCCTAC